GATACAATTTATAATGTTACATATTTGACACACACAGTTTTCATTTTGCACAACGTTACATCAAACATATAGCGTTAGTGCAATAAATAATACTTCATCCATCTCACTAACATTGAAATATTAGAGGACAGTGCAATTATTAAAAAATGAGATTGCATAATTCTTATTGAATTGATAAAATAAAAAATAATTTAGAACCATAGAAATTTTATCAAATTTTATCACTAAATTTTATCAAATTTTATCACTTAATTCATCCCATTAAGACTGTCTTAATGTTACTTACATCAAAAGGATGACACCCCATCCCTGAGGGCCCCCCACCACCGACCGGACGGCACGATGGGCGGATGTAAATTGGACTATAATCACAATCTGACAGATAGAGAGTGAGGCTCTATCCCGGTACTTGCAGAGACCCTATGCATTTTTCAGCATAGTAACCCCTCATCGCAGTTGCCGGGATTCGAACCCGAGACCTAACCCTTGTGGCACTCCCTTGCTACCAGTTGAGCTACGCCCACCGGTAACGTTACTTACATCAAACATTTAGCTTTAGTGTCAATAAAACTATTAGGCTGCCCTCGTGGAGTAGTGGACTAGTGGAAGGGATTTCTTGCGATATTGGAGTACTGGACATTTTGGACTCATTTTATAGACAAAAAAGACTCTTGGGATTTATTTTTATGGTGTCTGAGCATCAGCCGCTGTGCAAGATAGCAAAAATAAAACAGTAAACATGCCCAAACATCTATCTATCTTAATATAATAACAAAAGGTTTCTTGGGGAAGAAGTTGACGCCAAAACGAATGGCTTAATTCTTACGGTACAGTATCCTTTTGAAGAGATATTATCCAAAATAGGACTAAAAAGGTTTGAAAATTCCAAAATAGGACTTCCATGTTTTTATTCCTAAAATAAGACTAATTACTGTCATGTTTTGGCAGTACCAGACTTCAACATGACAGTATTTTCCAAATTTGGCAGTAATTACTCCTATTTTGAGAATAAAAAACATGACAGTCCTATTTTGGAATTTCCAAACTGTTTTAGTCCTATTACGGGAACTTTCCCTATCCCATTTAGTAAATCTTGGCATGAAATATCTTGATGCATTTATTGTTAGCCGTAAATGGAACCTTTGGTTTTTCAGCCGTCTAAGTGGCGGAGCCAGAAATCTATCGTTAAGAGGGCCGACCCTTAAAAAGTTTACATTACAGAGGCCAAAATTTAAAATATCAACACATTTTCTATAGATTAGAAGTATTTATACATAATATATATTTAAGAATTTTTTTCCTTGCAGGGGCCGAGGCCCCCTCCAGCCCCTCCCTGTCTCCACCCCTGGGCCTGTCTTTATTGGGAAAAAAACCTTTGGTTTTTCAGCTGTCTCTATTGGTATTTGTGGTTATTGTGGATAACTGTGTTCTACATTTACAAATAGAGGTGTCCTTTCGTTTCCCACAGCAAATTAAATGACTCCAATAAATAAAATTTATGTGTAAATTTGCAATAGTTGGTCCAAAAAATGTGTAGGGAAAAATTTGCAGTCGTGCGACACTCAATTATATTAGCCCTTGAAAAATAGTGTTGCAGCTGCCGATTAGTTCTAGAGAAAGTTCGAGAAAAGTTATTACAATTGAATTATTTACAACTAAAGATGTTTTCTTTTGGATTGTTTTCAGTCCCAGACCAGACCAGACCAGACTTAAACAGACCAGACCAGACCAGACCAGACTTGGATATTTATAAAATACACAGAGACCAGACGTTTAATTACCAGACCAGACCAGCAAATTTCAGTCCAAAAGAAAACATCCTAAGACAACTATTGCTTTGTCCAACAAGTTCTTATCTCTTTAATTTTTCGGTGCATTTAATTTTTAGTGTTGGCCATTTTTTTTTTTCCTATCTCATGTAATAGATGAATGTTGATAAATAAATATTGAATGTTTGGACTTTGGATGACGTTTTGTTAAGTTTCAAATAAAAGAATATTAAAAGAAACAAGTAATTAATGTTCAAAGTTTTTCTTTTAATTATTATATTCTTGGGAGGCCGGTCATATTACAAAATTAAAATTCCGCAAACGGACGAAGGCATAGATTCAAAGCAATGCATCCGGGTGAATGACATGTTGATATAATATGATCTAATGTAATCAATAGAAGCAGCTCCACCTAGCATACATACATAGTCAAATCTTCTGCAGAATGTATGTAGCCAATGAGGTTAACTCTCGCTTTAAATTTCTTTTCTCATATTTTCTTTTAATTTATGTTTGTTTCCCTAACGGGTTTGTTGTTACGTTGTATATAGGGAACTAAAACTTTTGTCATGTAATGACGGGTCAAATGGCCAAGTGTGTGAGAAGAAACTCCATAAAGATTCCGAGAAATGTTTCGTCGAGAAAATGCATGTACTCCAAACATAACCCACTTTTAGTAGAAAAAGGTTTAACATGCATGCATGTAAATAATTAAACAAGTTTCAGAATTCAACAAGTTTCCACAATATAATTATCAATTTGTACGGATTTACACTTGCTACCAATCAATTACAATTATCAAATACGGAGTAATACAATAGATTTTATTGTTATAGCATCTATAGCCCAAATGATTTTTTGTATAAGACATAAGACATTTCCTAAAATGCAGTTGTTTTAAAAACCAATTTGTCATTACAATAGACATGGTAAAATGTTCACTCGAATTTTGGCAGACTTAGTTTGCAAGTTGCAACCATCAATAAAACTCATTTCTTTACGTTCATAGATTAGTCAAAATCTAAAAATGGTTAGAACATCAAGTTATTTCTCAATATAACTCTTTAAATATTTGAGTAAAAGATTGCGTTTAATTCCGATTGTATTCTCATAAAAAGTTTTCATAATTAAGAAGCCTAGCATAAAACTTTACTGTCTAATTTTGGAGACTCCTAATGTAGATCCTTTTTAACAATGGAGCAGATAATCCAGATGGTTTTATGCAAAGAAAGTATAAGAAACGAATGGTAAGGAAAGTCTATTAATGGGTAGTACTAATCAGGCCAGGGGAGATAAAGGATGTAAAAACAAAATAAGAACGGAGAGAAAATAGACGATCGGGTTTGATCTACAATAGCATTATTTTCATTATTACTCTAAAAATATATGGATCGAGGTTTTATTGGGTTACGGTGCATGTTGTGCTTATTTAGTGGAGCAATGGATTGGAATTGGTCACGGTACAAACGCATGAGTTTGTGAAAAGAGTAATACGTGTTTTGGCTTGCGACAAAAAACAATTCGATGAAAGTCATGAAACTAGACAATAAGACAAAGTAATGTTCCAAACATTAAGAGTCCATTTGGTAGCACGAAAATCGGCTGATTTAGTTGATTCTGCTGAAATTTATGAAGTTCTGGCAGAAGTGGCTACATTGGTTGATTTTTCCTAATTTAAGAAAAAATAAAATATATTTTATTAATGAAATAAAGAAACAATTATATCTAAAAATAGCTAAAATGGTCATCCACATTAACTTCAGCCAATACAGCCAGAAAAGTAACTCAACCTTACTTTTTCTGCTTATTATACAATTTAGCTCGCGAAAGCAAACGTTACGTGTTTGGTGAAAAGGTTGGCTGATAAGCCGAAAAGCAGTGTTGCCGAACGACCTCCAAGATTACGTACTACGCCCTATTCAGTATTTCTTAAAAATAAGAATAGTAAAAATGCTCCCGTTTGTTAATTTGCTTCAACACTTATGAATGCGAGTCCCAAACATTGAACTTAAACCACTTCCTATTCTAACATAGTTAATTAAAGAGGTTGTTTGATAATATTGAAATTTGCTGAATTGACTAAATCTATTGAAATGGATGAAAATCATGAAAATATGAAATTCTGAATGAAGCAGTTAAGGGTAGGGCTGGACTCGGGCCGGTTCGGGCCCGGTTCGGGCCTGGGCCCGGCCGGGCCTCGGGCCAGGAAAGGGGAGGCCCGAGCCCGAACCGCCGGTGGCCGGTTCCGGTTCCGGTTCCGGGCCAAACCGGGCCGGGCCGAACCGGCCCAATTAATTTTTTTTTGTTCTCCTATTTAATCCCCTACCCCTCCCCCTCAACCCCAAACCATCCCAAACCACCTCAAATGGCCCAAAATACCTAATCCAACCTAAAACTTAAAAAAAATTCAAAAAAAAAAAAAAAATTAAAATCCGGCCCGAACCGGCCGGGCCGGTTCACCAAAACCTGGGCCCGAGCCCGGACCGCCCAGCACCCGGGCCGAGCCAAACCGAACCGGTGGACCCACCGGGCCACGGGCCGGGCCGGGCCAAACAGTGACCGGGCCGGTTCGGTCCCGGGTCGGGCCGCCCGGCCCGAGTCCAGACCTAGTTAAGGGAGTGTTTGCAAAAATTTAGAAAAAGTGTTTTTGAGCTTTTAACAACTTCTACTTAAATTAAGCACTTAAAGCAGGTGTGAGAGTGCTTTAAACCGCCTTTTCACTTTTTCTGTTACACAAAAATTACTCTTTTTTTTAAACACTATCAACTTTTACTTTTCCAGAAGCATTTTTTGTCTCAAACACTACCAACTTTTATTATTAAGTACTTTCTCAAAATTCACTTTAATACCCCCATTTTTAAAAGTATAAGCAATCGCAAACACTCCCTAAATCGGCCGAATCTGCTTAATTATGAAAAAAAATTAAAAAATGTTATACTAATAAATTAAGGAAAAACTGATATGAAATATACCTGAAATTATTCTATACTTTAACTTCTTTTCATTTAGTCAGAAAAATAACTCCAATCTTTTGTGAATAACTACAAACTTTATAGTTACGCGTTTGGTTGAAAAATTGACTGATATGCAATAAACATGGGTTATCAAATTGGCTCTAAAACAAATTCTGAAGTTTGATATCTTATTCATTGGATTTTTTATGCTGTCAAAAAACAAATTAAAATGTTGTATCGCACGGGTGAGATACTAGTATATGTCAACAGTAAACGTGCTCACTATTAGTCTATTAGAGACAGAAAGAATAATGTTCAACGGTTCAACCTACCACGGTCCTATGAAGGGCGATCTTTATGGACAAAGTTTAATTCTAAATAAGTGAATATAGAAAAAATGCATTTGAACATTGCAGATGCCTAGATATTTAATAATTAATAATAAAGGTACAAACCATTAAGAGATCATGAGTAAGAAGTTCCATTACAAATACAGGTGCAATTACCAGAAACTAATTTGATAATTATTTTAGTCAGAATTGATAATTATATATTCCTCAATCCTGAACAGGATCGGAATTACTGCCAGTTGCAGTAATAGAATTAGCTTTCCTCTCAGCTTGAAGTGAGCGGCATAATGACTCAAGCTTCTCCTTCTGGTTCCTCATTTTTTCCAGCTGTTTCTTCATGTGTTCTCGCTATTTCCATCACAACACATGAGAAGGCAAATGTTATGGACACACGATTTTGCAGTAATAACTAATTTTAGAAAATGGCATCAACCCCAATATTTACATGAATTTATTCACCCGTAGGTGAAGCGGTGTCACAAGAATTGTGATAAGTGTGGGACTACGCGCTATTGCCACTGTCATCTAGTGGTAGACCTGGTTCCAGCTCAGGATCAGAAACGGGACTGACCGGTTATGGACCCATCACCCAACCGAAAAACTCATTCTGAACCAGAACCAGGAACCCTCCAGACCTGGTATGGCTTGCACCAAGTTTCCTAAAATTAGTTACCAGACTGGCTAGCTCTGCGGGTCATCCGATGATGGATGGAACTGGCTGGCTCTGTGGGTACGGATTTTTTTTATACATTACAAAATCATGTGGGACCGAACCGGAACTGTATCCCCTACTGTCAGCGCATACATGTCACAACTCCGATGTTGTCATCGGCAGTATAGACCTAAAGATTACAACTCCGATGTTGTATCCCCTACTGTCAGCGCATACCTGCCAACCTAAAGATTCAGGGTAATTGGTAGTTTTAAGTTTTTGGTTTTGAAAACTTAGTATGAGCATGAGTATTTTTGCATTTTTGTTTAAAACGGCAAAAACAGGTTTAAGTTTCCAGTGGACAGTTTCAAAATCAACAGGATTAATATGAGTATGGGTATTTTAGGTTTATAAAAGAAGGTATGTAATGTAACTATTAAAAGAAACCACAAAATGATACCTGCCACGAACAAGGTCTTGGTAATAATGGGAAAACAGGATTTTCCAATAATAAAACTTTACCTCTTCAGCCAGCTTTATGAGAGCAACATCTGTCTTCTCGCATTTGCTCTTCAAGAAAGTGTTCTCCTTTCTGAGCTCTTTTATTGACTTCGACATCTACATTAGCAAAGCAAAGCAAATCATGACTAGTTTGCTAGACAGCTTAACAACTACAGCTACTGACCGCTTAACAACCGCAGCGCTACTAACCTCAAAGTTTGTAAGGTAAACAAAGGAAAACAAATATACCTTGTCAACTTCTACTTTAAAACCTTCAAACACTTCATTACTCTTCGACAATGCTTCCTGTGCAAATTTATAACATGACATAAGTTATAATATAGTTTATCATAATAATTAATGAGGAGCTATAAAGTCGCCACTCGCTATATGCCCAAAGCTCCTTTAACATTTGGAGGGAATAATATCAGTGGGGCTATAATAGGAGTAACATTTGGTTACAAAACAGACCTGGAATTGCTGGAACTTTTCACCGTCAGCAGTCAACTGAAGGCGTAAATTCTTTTCAGTAGCCAACAATTCAGATATTTGGTCTGCATACAGTTTCATCTTGGATTCTTCATGCTGCATTTTCTCTTCATGTTGCTTGATTTTTAAATCAGCTATCTGAAGTTCAAGATCCTTTTGCTTCAACTGCATCAATAAAGGATAACAGTTAAACCATATCCCAGAAGAAGATAAAATATTCAAAATCCAACCAGAAGCTCAATGTAGTACACTTAATCAGAAGGACCTTTCGATTATAATGCTCCTCAGCTAGAGCATACTGATCGACAACTTGCTTCAGTTTGGACTTTAACCTGCAGTTCAATTACTTAGAAAACCATAAGAAATTAGCACAAGGCTAACATTGGAAACTAGTGCACGTGCTTCACGATATCTACCTCTGTCTCTTAAAACTTTGCCATCTTGAAATCTTTGACCAACTATATATTTTTATTGGAAATTACTCATAATATAAAAATGATGATAAAATGTTCTTTGTTAAAAATAATTTTATAAAAGCATAAAATTTATAACTTCCATAGTATTATACTAATCAAAATCATGATACAAACTTTACGAGATGGCAAAGTTTAAGAGACGGAGCTATTATATGTTTACATGACCATGAGTATCACAATTTCCTCAACAAGTGTGCGCAAGAGACTTATTTTATGAATGAAAGATGGAAAGTGCGACAAGACTAGGGTTCTAGGAAGGATGTTTACGAAAGTGAAAGGGGACCTATTTATATATACGAATAAGCCAGGTTTCAGGCACATAAGTACAAACAAAAAAATGTTGTGCCAACATGTCCTATGAACTAAGCCTGAGCCAAAAATGCTTTGTAACCTATGTCTTCTAAGCCCAAAAAGAGATTATGGAAACTAATAAAATCAGAAATTCTAAGAATCTTACGTCTCATTCTCCTTCAATTGTGATAGACATTCATCCTTTTGTTCTTCCATCCTGTTGCTAACTTCCTAAAAATAAGCACAAAGTGATGTCCTGAATCAAAGTGAGCATACAATGATGTGGAAACAGAATATTTTATCATTTCTCTTTTCCTGTTGGAAAAAATACCAAGGCAATTAAAACATAAAAATGTGAGCTTAAATAAAAAAAACAATATTACAAATTTACAATAGAACAAAAGCATGAGCTTTCCAGAAGTGCATAAGCATCAAGTAATCCCCAACTCCTATTATTAGTGTATGAAATCTTTCACTGGAAGACATGATATGCTGCTGAAACAAGATCATAGGTGCTTTGAGCAAGTTGTTTTCTTTTTATTATAAATCGGGTCAATGAAAAGGTGAAAATGTTGAAGAGTGCTAACAATCAGAAACAATCAAATCTAGCACCCCATACATCCAGCAAGACAAGCTATATGGTTGTTGACACAAGGAAGTAGTATTTTCATCATAAATTCATAATTGAGTAAACCACTTGTGAAAGTGAAAAACGTCTACACTAGTGAGAACATTAGGTTACATTTTAGAAGCAACTCATTCCATTTGTCAGTCGACATTCAATAAAGCAGTTGCATTTAGAAATTCAAGCTTCAATTTCTTTCTGATAAATTAGCATAATTCACTTCAAAAAATATAAGAAGGTGAGGTTTATCTCACAAATATATGAGATTGACACCCATTAAAAAGCCAATACTAAACACACATATGCCAAACAGCTAAAGGGTGGACAAATGAGCCCAAAACGAACCCCGAACATTCTGCCCCAAACCATTGAGCAGACTATCACCCCACAAACCACCACTTTTGAAAAAGGCCAATACGATGTTAAGTTTGGTCTAATTCACCCTATATGAATTCTTAAAAGGTAAAATTTATCTCATATACGACACTTAAACACAATACACTACCAAATTGGGATCTTCAATGCATTTTATCCTTCTCTAGAATCCATCATCGAAATATGATATAGGTGTGGTATGCAACAGTAAAAAACACAACCACTGCCTAAATTGGTTGAGTAACATATACTGCAAGAATAATGGCAAGAAGAAGCATATATTTTTTCACGCAAGGTTATTTCACAAAAAGATGAGAGCTATCCGAACCTTGATTGCATCTCGAAATTTGTTTGATATGTCCAATCTCAAATTTTGACCTTCTTCTGAAACCCTTTTGCACTCATCCTATTTAACAATGCCAAAGGTCATGTTAAATGAAACATTTACGATGAAGTGTGCTAAATTGCATTGCAGTCTGCAGTTAATTAATAGCAACTGCTATAGATTTAAGTGTTTAACTAGATTTTGTTTAGAAGAACTAGGCAGTCTATACAACAAGAACTAATGATCAAGACACGGGTGCATGAGGCAAGTTTTATTCCTACCATCAGTGTCTTGTTTTGACGTTGCAATTCCCGACATAATGACTCAAGTCTATCACGAACAGCAATAGCTGAAAAAAACATATTTCAAACATTAACTAGAAAGCTAGAGACAAATGAGTGTGCCAAGTTATCTGCATCTCTATAAAACATGAATAGTAATAACTTCTAAGTATTATGCATATCTGATTCCTTAAAAGGATTTTATTGTATTGAAAATCCTGCCCCTAAAAGAAAACGCTCAGCAAAAAAATACAGTGTCCTAACTCAGTCAGGTAACAATGGTCTCTCGTGAATTTGTTCCTCTGTGGATAGAGTGTGTGTCCCTCATGAGGCTACTAGTACTCTGTAAATACACAACTTCAAAACAATCTTAGGAAGATAATAAACAATCTTAGAAAAAAAGGAAACAAATTCAGTGGTTACGAAAGAGGTCTCATACCTCACGGTTAAGAACTTAGTTTATCTTAGATTCATGGTATGTTTTTTTTAAACTTAATTTAACCCTTGACAATGCATAATGTAACCCAGGTACACATTTCAATCTTACTTATTAACTACACATAGTTATATTTAGAGAGAGCCAAGTCAAGCACACTAACGTAGATAAATTGAGGGCAAAACAATGAATAACTTGCTCAACCAACCTACCTTCATTCCAGCTTTGTAAGAGCCAGCATGAATCATTATTTGATGTGTAAAGTATATAACAAGTGATAACAAGCTACCTGAATCCCTTTCTGTAATAACTTGTTGATATTTTAAAGTAAACTCCAAAAAATCCTTGTCAGATTTAAAGCCGCGTTTCACATTCTTCCGTTTCCCTTCAGAGGCTTCCTAGAATATCAAATGTGATAGTTTATAAGTACAAGTACAGTGACAATAAAACTGTGATACTCCCTCCGTCCCTAAATAAACTTCCAGCTTCCCTTTTTCGTCCATCCCAATTAAAACTTCCATTTTCCCTTTTTGGTAAAGAATTTGTGGTTCACAACATTTCTTACACATTTCTCTCTCCTCTGCACAACTCTCCACCACACAATACCCACTATCTTAAACTGTGTGCCCAACCCATTTGGAAGTTTTATTAGGAACGGAGGTAGTACATAATACTATGACTACTATAATTGCTGTTTTGAAATTTTATAGCACTAAAAAAAGGCAGCCAGGTGCACATTGACGTCCCCGCAAGGTGAGGGTATGGGGAAGGGTCCCACCACAAGGGTGTACAAGGGGCAAGCTTTCACTTCTCGTTTTGAAATGAGGCCGCTCCCAAGACTTGAACCCCTGACCTCTCTGTCACAAAGCAACACCGTAACCAGTGCCCCGCCAAGGCTCCCTTTCTGAAATTTTATAGCACTAACCTCACAAAAAGAAGTTAAACAGCTTAAAATGATATTTAAAATAAGAAAAGGAGAGCAGTAAGTGAGAAACTGAGTGAGTGATGCTTTTATTTTTGAGTTAGGATAGTTTGTATTTTGTTAAAGAAATAACAGAATAACAGATTTATTGGTATGTTTTTGCAAGACTTGAATATTTCTAAGAATTAAAGTATGAAATTAGATTAGTGTGCTAGTGACACTTTCAGTGTGTTAGGCTTCAGGACAAACATGGCTAGTGCACCAGAACCAATCATATTCTCTACACGACTACACCTAACCCAACTAAGAAAGCCATCCATGGTAGGTTTCAGACGAGAGTTCAAATATCACCTTTTTACAGGCAGGCAACTAAGATTTATCTTCTTGGTTGCTTTATACTTAGTTCACTCTGACTCTCTAGTTTCTAACGCTTTTCATGAATGCTCTGAATATTCAAGTTCTTAAATACTTTGGACAGTAATTAATCAATTAGATCAATTACCAGGCATACCTCCACCCATGACAGGAACTTTATAGAAATTATTCAAATTTTCTTTGCAAACTTGCTTAAAGATACCAGAAAACCAGAGCATAAAAGAGAATACTGCGTTGAAAGCACTTGGAAGTTGGAACATGCATTAAACTGAAGACTAAGAAATATAGAGAGACAGATTGGGAACTATTTACTTCAAGATATTAGAAGCAGGCAGACTCATAGGGCATTAATGTAATGCAATAGCCATGAAAACAAATGAATTAAAGTTGGTTAACTGACTATTTTTCTGTGCTCAGAACTTTCTACTGACAGTGCCTCCTTATTGGCTGGTGGCTGTTCATTTCTGGTAGCTGCAACAAAATTGATGTTAAAAGCAGCAAACTCATGATAAAGAGTACACAAAATGTGATATGGCAATATTGCAACACAAGCATATTGATTTTCATAAGTTAAATGGTTAGGGACTTGGCTGAATAATTAGTGAGGAGCAAAGATTTAGTGGACCGTCTTCTTTTTTCCCTTTTCTCATAACTGGACAGTTTTTCCAATGATCCCAGTTTATATGGCAGACGGAAGCTAAGAATATTTGACAGTTATCAATCATGACTAACTACTAAGCCATTCCCTGCTCTGTTTCCAAGTTAATGAAACAAAAATGTCTTGCCAATGTAGTCAATATTACAAGTATATGGCAAAAAGATGGAAGTTTCTGTTGTAATGGTATTTGGCATGAATGGTAATCGTTTGCATGTTCTTTTTTAACAGTTGGATGATGTTTTTTGCAATACAAAACACTCATACACCATATGCATAAGTGTTTAGTCATAATTTAGGAACATCAACATGTATATGTTTTAGTCATTATAGTGGTAAGTTACCCATTAAATATTCATTTATATACAATATTTATAGGAAGATAATAGAGGAGTATAATGAGGGTGAAATCTAGTCCTTTAGTGAGTTTAGTCTAAACAGAGTCATGTTAGTATATTTCACTAGAGCCTTACTCTCCAGTTTATTCCTCCCACGAGAAGGGCATTGCCATGTGACTTTTAACATCTCCTTCCCATTTTTCAAAAAGCGGTGGATAGAAAGTTGAAACGAAAGATGGTTAAGTCATTTGGGATCACATTCATTCATATGATTGGTAAGGAGAATGAGAAACTAATAGTGTCAAAAACCACAAAAGATAATGAAGTTCCGGATAAATCTCTCTGAATTGCAGGTCCCAAATCCCAATTAATAGGAACTTCCATATTTCCATCCCCTTTATATTCTCCATCCTAGAAAACACACCTCACACAATTCACCTTACCGAAGCATGAGAAAAGAATTTATGTCGGTCTATTGTAAGTAAATTCATACTGGACACAAAATGACAATCATGTTGCATATGCAAAACAGAGATAAATGCATATTTTTCATTTTTCCTGTTTAAGCCAGCAACTGACATCTAAGGATTTCTTGAACCTTCAAAATCATTAAATTATAAGGATTGGCGAAACAATATTCCTTAAGAATTTGCAAACAATGTGAGATTTCGAATATTCCTTAATTTAGTGGTTAGGTGCAAAGTGGGTCTACCATTTTTGTCCCCCAACAAAATCGCAGCCACATTTTACTAGGGGATTAATATGGACCAAATTTTTCACTTTTCTTAGAGTCCATTTGGAAGATTAAAATGCTAGGGAAAGAAAATATGGGGGAAATTTCAAAAGAAATTTGGAAGAAAAGCAATGTATGAGGAAAAATAATACATCAATTCAAACTCAAGAAATTTACTTTAATTATAAATACTAAAAAATCTAAACATATGTGAAAAAAATAAAAGGCCTTGATCGTATTTCGTCCTCCTTTACATTTTCCCAGGTAAAACGAAACACAAAAAGTGTTTTCCTTACATTTTCCAGGACCCAAACAAAGCCCCAGTGTCTGTAAGGGGCAATTTCAGGTAAAACTACAATTCTCTGAATAGAAATACAATTGCTACCAATATGCAATTTCAATCTTTTCTGAAAATTCTCATTCAGAAACTCTTGATAAAACAACTTATATAATGTGCCAAACACAATTAAGAGAGGCACCGCAAGAACTAACGTTCCAATCCATCTAACAATTCATAGAAAACTTACAATTATCTGAGCTGCCCTGTACCTCTGCTGCAACACCATCATCCTTATGTACGTCTATACCATCACTTACAGAAAGTGCATCAAAATGGATATGATTGACAATCACACCGGGCCTCAATTCGGGCTCCAATAACGTATCCTCCTTATAATCAGTCAGCTTCGGAGCTGTTGCAGACGCTAGCCTGGGTGACATTGGCGGCAATGAGTCGGTGGAAGAGCTATCCACAAACCCATCCGGTAACGAATCCGCTCCCGGCAGCTGATTTGCGACCGGGTTTGGCGTAGCGTTCTCGCAATCCATTTCACCTGAGAAGACTCGAACAATTTCTTTATAATTCCTAAGAAAATTACTGCGGGGGTGAGAGTATGGAAGACTGCAACCAGCGAGATGAACAAAATGTGGATTTTGAATCGGTGGGGAAAAGAGACTGTTTTTGGCGAACTTAACATGCAAATAGGTCCGTTAAAATGATTAAAATGAGCAAGAAAGCACAAAAGCAATAAAGTGTTTTCAATTCTATTTACTATTTAGGGAGTATTTGAGATGGTTTCATGAATTTAAATAAATTGTTGTATTATAAAAGTTGATGGTGTTTGAAAATTTTATTCTTACAAAAAGGAAAAATTGACAGAGTTTGTTAAAATTGTGTTTTGTGTAACAGAAAATGTGTAAACAATTTAAAGCACCCTACCTAAATTATTTTATACTACCTCCGGTTTTTTTTAAACTTCACAGTTTGACTTCACACAAAATAAGGAAAGAAATTTGACTTTACTGTAGAGTACACTGTTGAGGCACTGTTTGACACTGTTTGGCACTGTAGAGACACTGTTGAGACACTGTTCGGCACTGTTTGGCACTGTTTTGATGTAGATTTCTTTGCCAAAAAAGGAAATAAGGAAGTGTGAAGTTTATTTTAGACCATCCCAAAAAGGAAAGTGTGAAGTTTATTAAAAACCGGAGGGAGTATCTAGATATTCTATATAAGATCTCACTCACTTAGATAGCTTTTAAGTGTTTAATTCAAATGTATTTGTCACGTGAAAAATCTTTTTTCAGCTTTTTAAGCCAAAGTTGAAAATCGATTTTTAAACATTGCAAATACTCCCTTGATCTTGTATGCAATGTAAGAGATAAGAATTAAAATGTAATCCCTCTGTCCCGTTGGAAGGTTTCTGTGGGTAAATAACACTTTTTTTAGGCAAGTGATTAAATAAAATAATTTGAATAAAAAAGAGAAGAAAGGGAAAATTTAGAAGAAAAAAACATATAAAGTGAAAGTAATTAAGGGGGGATAAGAATAGGAAAGAAAAATTTGAATAAAAAGTGTAATTAAAGAGAGTAAATTATTTCCTAAAATAAAATGAGAACCTTTAAATGAGACATTCAAATAAGGAAAGTGAAAACATTTCAACGGGACGGAGGGAGTAATTAGGTCTGGGACCGGTTCGATTTTTACTCAAAATGGGTGGAACCGTTATAAAAATTTTAACTAATGAAATCGATTTGGTTCTTATGTAAAAAATCAAGAACCGTTATGGAACTGAACCAATACGAAACGGTTCGGTTCTTGCTTTTATCGGTTCCTCGAATAATTTTTTTCTCATCTATGAATTAGCATATTATTTGCTTTCTGCCACATAAATATGTAAAAAAATCAAAACACAAGTACTAAAATTTTATTTAAAGTTCTAATCACTTCAAACATCAAAACTCAAACTTAACTAAGTGAATACTTAATAGAAGAAAAGAATATTTCAATTTTTGTTTTTCTATTTAATAAGTAGAACATAAAACTCTTTGCTAGTAGTATAATTTACAATAAATCTAATACTTACAAACTTACAAATACCATGAAGATAGTGAATTTAAATATATGCAATCAACTACAAGTTATTTGAGTTATTTTATATTTATAAAATTTATGAGATGTAACAAAACTTGGTTTGTAAAAATGAGCTTAACGTATTCAATCTCATGCGTAATATTGATTACTTTTGTTTTCGTTGGTTAAATTACAATGTTGTCTAAATGCCATTGATTGTACTACTATTGTTATTGTTGATATTATTGTTATTACTATCACTACTTATATAATTACAATTTTTATTTTTATTTTTATTTTGTACTAATGGTTTCTTAACGGTTCCGTGCACATATTTTTTGTAGGAATTGAACCATTAGTAACAACTAGGAACCGAACCGTTAACAACTAATTCCACATTTGTAGGAACCGAACCGAACCGAACTGGGTTCTACGGTTCCCGGTTCCGACATCCCACCCCTAGGAGTAATTGAAATATGTATAAATGAAAGAGCTATAATGCAATTGAAATTTCTCAAAACTAATTCTAGGAGCAATTTGAAACACTTAGAAGTACTTTCGTACTTTTACCCAAACACTCCAATATCTGACTATGTCAAACAGAATCTAAAAAGAAAATTCAAACACCTCATAATTAATCAACTAGCAGAAAATGGAATAAAAATTATTTAGACAATGAATTCTGATTTGGCACGAAACTGTGGCGGGATCACTAGATTTTTTGTGCTTAGCTTTGTCTTTATTTTTATTTTTGAAAAACCCTCGTCTTTATTATGCATTTATATTTCAAAATTTCAGATATTTAATTAATGAGAATATTACCCGAAATAGGACTAAAAAGGTTTGAAAATTCCAAAATAGGACTGTCATGTTTTTATTTCTAAAATAGGACTAATTACTGTCATGTTTTGGCAGTACTAGATTTCAAACATGACATTATTTTTCAAACTTGGCACTAATTACTCATATTTTGGGAATTAAAATATGACAGTCCTATTTTGGAATTTTCAAACTATTTCGGGAACTTTCCCTTAATTAATTGATAAAACGATCCAAACATAACTAAAACATAATGAAAGTGTAATAATAGGACCATGATTCTTTTCGTATGATAAGAGTAAAAGTGAGAGTGAATGTGAAAAATGCACTAATTAATGAAAGCCATATACATATTCATCCAGTGATTATGTCATCATGAAACACAAATGTTATCTCGACATTGCCGTTGTAAAGTCACAATTTCATTGATGGATATAAATTATCAAGGTGTCCAAGACATACTCCGTATAATTTAGAGAGATATGAGCTAGAAATGTAGATAGATATTAGATAGTGTGTGGTGTTAGGGTTGATCCTCTTTTACATGACTCCCAGGGGATTATATATAAGAAAATGTGGACTAAGACAACTAGATTGGGTCTAGAAGAATCAATTACATAAAAAAAACTAATACATGATATAAAAGCCTAATCTAATATACCCAAATAAATATGTAAAGTGTACAAAAATGTAAATGCTAGAATGCTAGATATTCGACATACATGGTCGTCGTTGAGGCCCTATGGTCACAAGACCGAGGCGTTGAACCTGTATACTACATCAATCATCATCAAACAATATAATCAGTAATCATCTTGATTGCAAAACCAATGCAATCTTGATAGGCTTTTTATATGCATATAGACTCGCTGAAAAATACGACTAAGAAACTATTGTGCCAAACATTCAACTAAAAGCTTTTAGAAGCGTTTTGAATAGTACAAAAGCTATTTAAATTTGTAAGTCAAATATTATATGCAGTGTATTATTGTCAGTGTAACATAGTTTGATTTGTTTAAGCACTTTCAAGTTTAATTTAGTGAAAACATCTCAAAGGTTTGAATTTGGTGACATGTGAAGAAGGCGACCACCCAAACCTCTGTGCATCTTTCCCATTTTCAGAAACAATTTTAAGAAAAAATATCATCACAGTAACCGCCACTGCCTATGTTGACAAGATATGTATAGGCAGTATAGTAAATTAGTAATTTTGTGATCCATAATAGTAACTGATAAATACTTCATCGTAATAATAATTATAGCAGCAGCAACAACAACAACAACAACAATAGTAACAATAATATAAGAATAATTTGTGATCCATCACTCGCATTGTTATTAAATACCCCGTTATAGATAAGGTGCATGAATGCGATTTTTTAAGTGAGTAAAAGCTATGAGCTGAGGCACATATAGAACAAGCGTTCTTGTTTTCATTGTTTAGTGGATTGAGTGCACGAATGTGAGATGCAACTACGCTAGCAAGCTACACATTCAAGTAAACTGTGTACATTCTTGCCTTCATAACTTAGTGTGTCGAGTACACGAGTGAAGGGGAGGCCGTGATTTCGAATCCCGTACATGGCAACTATTTTGGTGTGTTTCGTAAAAAGGGGGGAAAGAGATGACTACCTATTGCCAATTGGATAAAAAAAAACTGGCTGGATGAAGCGTGGAATGCAACTATCAATGGAAGGAATAATAAGGGACATTCGAATCAATTCTGGTTGTAAACTAATCTATGTGTAATTCAATAATTACACAATTTTGAACTAGGTTTCATATCAAAGACTTACACTTGGAAATAGAAGGAACTTTGAAAGTCCAAGAGGTCGTTTATATGTTTGCCTCCAAATTCCCATTACTTGATTCCTTCTCCCTCCAAATTGCTAGTACTTCGTCAGTTCTAAACCTTTGTGTGAATGTAGATTCCTCTATAGGGGTCGACGTTCCGTGGGCATAAGCTAGGAGGCCGGTATAGGCAATCATCGCCCCATTGTCAATGCAGTATCTGTCATCAGTTGCATACAATCGCCCGCCCCTCTCAGAGCACATAGTTTTCATCATCTCTTGCAACCTCTCGTTGCATCCCACACCACCAACAATCAATACATCCTTCTTATCACAATGTGCCATTGCGCGTTCTGTAATCTCCACAAGCATTGCAAACAAAGTCTCCTAATGTAATTGTAAACAAACGCATCAACTATCAAATTGTTTTCTTTGTGATTTTGGATCATGAGCAGAAGACTTTGCAGTGATATGAAAATAAAAAAAAAAAAGTTTTTAGGTTTTAAATATGTTATTTGTAATGCAGATATAGTTTCTTTTAGTTTTAGATCCTGTAAAATTACTTTTCTGTTCAACTTTGGAATTTATGTTATTTTCTTTTTAATCCATCCCAGGAAATCTTTATTAAATAATTGAATTGGATAAGACAACCACAAGACTTTTCCAAGTTATCTGTTTTTGTACTTTGAAATGTTTTATTTACACAGTTAGCGACATAAATTGCAAAAGAGAATGACAAGTCTGGCATAGCCCAAAATTACTTTTTTGGGAATAGCCCAAAATTACTTAATAGTGTTCACTCTCCAGTGAGTTACAGAAGGTTGAATGGGAAGGACAGAGCCATGCCAGCTTTCTTTTGGAAAAGGATTGATCGAGAAGGCTAAAAAAATAACATAAATTACAAATATGAATAACGAAATATTATTGTACAGTGACCTGAAAACATATATGGAGTATATCTCTAGACCAAAAACATACTTAAGCCAAGTTTAGCCTGAAAATAAAAATGGACTGGGACAATAACTAATTACA